TCGCAGGCGAAAGTGCGCCCATCCAGCGCTTCCCGTGCTTCAGGTTCTGCCTCTGGCTCTGACGATGTGCAGCCGGGTTCGAAGCGCTTGCGGCGTTTCCTCCTGCCTGGGCCGATGTGGGTGAGTTTGATACTTGTGAGTATGCGGGTGTCGATCGGGTGATACCCGGGGCGGTGGTGTTGCCTGTGACGGTGGTGGAGGGAGCTCCCGTGCCTGCTGCCGCCGGTGACAGTGTCTCTCCATTAACCTCTGTTTCTTCTCCTACAAGGGGTTCCCCGGCAATGGGGGGTGGTCCCTACTGTGGTGGGTGGCGTAGATGGTGATGTGGGCCGGGTCCTTGTGGTGGTTCTCAGGAAGGATGTCCGTGTCGCCGGGATTCTGTGCCGGTGTCCGACCCTGTGGCTGTTGTTCAGGATGTGGCCCCCTGTGGTGTTGCTCCTCTGACGTGCCTCCTCCTGTGGTGCAGCTCGCTGCGGACGTGTCTGGCGATGTTGACCAGGATGGCCGGCCTGTTGGTGAAGATGTTTTCGACGAAATACGTACTAGCGAGACGCCCTTACAGTGGGAGCGGGTGTTGACGCTGTGCCCGTCTATTATTTGGGTACCTCGTGTACGTGTTTTTATGTCCGGGGTTCCAGAATTCATGGCTCGTCCTCGTGCGCCTGTAAATTAAGTACTTACGAGGAGCCTCTCCTAAAGGTATTTGTGTTTTCATCTGTTGGTGGCCTTTGTTAATTTCTCTCATGATTTTCTAACTATTATACGCTCTTCTGAACCACTCGGTTTCCAAGTGTGTTTCTTTCTAGTTTGGCGTCACGGCTATGTTTATTTTTGCACTCTGCTCATTGTTTCTTCAGTGTGGTCTGACACCATCTTCGCTCACTTCTCATGCTGGCAGCTTCTCACCTGTCCCCCAGAGATCCTCCGAGTACTGACATGAGCCATGCTTGACACTCAATACCCACCATGTCTCCCACATATTACTGCAAATATTGTGTCATATGTGCTCCTCGTTCTTGGCTGTGGTTCACAACAGAGTGCCACGTAGTGCAGTACAGACGCACACGGCGTCACGTATCTCTGTATCCTGCATCCTCTCTGCCCTTGTGTCTTGGACGCCACAGAAAACTGCCTCTTTCATGATGGTGGCATAGGATGATGGTGGCATAGGATGATGGTGGCATAGGATGATGGTGGCATAGGATAGGGCATAGTAATAACTGGCAGATTCTGCACGTTGCACGCCGCCACCATGCAAACTGACGAACTTTCTCAGCTCACGGGAAATGACATATAAGTGACGGATCAATATTAAACACATAAGAACAACTCAAGCTTACAAGATTCCTGCAGATGTCAGCATCCACGTTAACTTTAGTACTTACGCTGTATTGTGCAAGTCTTTCCAGAGTTGCGCTTGTGACATATTCACAGTGTCTCTTGTTCTTGTGATATTTACACCGGGAAACCCTTCGTGTTTGTTGTAAAAGCAACAACAAAATATGTTATAAACTGCAAATAAAACATGTGGACTGTTGACACATTAACTTGAGTCCACCGTTAGTTTACAGGTGTGAGCACCAGTGGTGTGAACGACACAAGAAGTGTGTGTTTAGGTAATTGTGAAGTTATATATTACATCTTGAAATAGAGTAGCTTAGGGCTATTACCCCTCCAGTGTTACACGCCCCTCAAGAAGGGGGGGCTATTACCCCTCCAGTGTTACACGCCCCTCAAGAAGGGGGGCTATTACCCCCTCCAGTGTTACACGCCCCTCAAGAAGGGGGGCTATTACCCCTCCAGTGTTACACGCCCCTCAAGAAGGGGGGCTATTACCCCTCCAGTGTTACACGCCCCTCAAGAAGGGGGGGCTATTACCCCTCCACCTTTACACATTACATCCCTGTTCGGCAATACTCTGTTACACATTACTTGATTAGGAGTTACTTCCTCAAAAGGCACAAAATAATATATAGAGGATGTACATTTTACTTCTACTGTATATAATTATTAAATTAACCTAAGTTGTCTAAGACTGCAAGTTGTCCACAGTGAAGGAGTGTGGTCCTGTGACACTGTCTCTTGCTGCTCTTGTCCTTTATTCACTTGTAGAGCGCAATATTACTACGTCAGTCCCAGGTACAGTGAGTCCTTACATGTTATCTTAACCCCGCTATACGTGGAGGAAGAGTTCGTGTTTATTTGCACGTAATATTTTAATGTTTTAATGGCGATCAGCATTAGCGATCTCTTGACGTTATATATATATCGTCTTGATCAGCTTCATCCTTGTCTTATTTTGCTTCATAGTTAAATGAGAATTCTGAGTGATCTGTTGCTCTCTTTAGGAAAGCATCAGTGGTCTCATTTACGAGTACGGTCACATGTGAGGGCGTCTGTGTACATCTTAGCTGGCAGTCACATCATGGCCTCCGTAATGAGCTCTTTACACTCATGTTCTGCCTAAAGAGCTCCAATCTTCAAGTGCAAATGTTGTAAGGAATTGCATATTGAACGCCATTAGCCCCCCCCATCATCAGAGAATCATCTGAGGCGCTGAGTGAGGAAAGAATCCTTTTCTAAGCTTGCCGAGTAGGCCGGACGACTCAAACAGAAAATGGAACAGTACGTCACTTTTGTGAGTCGATTTCATTTCAAATTACGTCCAAATTTGGCCATAGTGCGCATACGAGCGAAAAGTGACGTTATTTTCAAGAGGACGGGTTGCAACGAGAACACATCGCCCGGCCATCACACCTACTTCCCTCAGCTCCAGGATCGCCCACAACACCCTCCTCCAGGCTTGCCAGTAGCTCCTCTCTGAATAAAATCATTATTTTTTTTCTTGGCTTTTCTCTTAACTGTTGCTGCATAAAGGATTTCTTTTACCATTTATATTTGAAGTTTGATGTATTAATTTTTTTTTAGCTTGTGATGACGTTGACTTTTTCTTGTTGTGTACGAGTCTCCGGTGAAGCCGTCACCCCAGGAACACTGTGACTGGAAAATATCGTGACTGTTAACCTACTTTCTCAATACGAGTCAGTTTTTTTTTTCCAAAAGAAGAATAAGAGCTAAGGTAAAAATTTTAATATACCTGGTTTGATACAACGGAGTTCACACGACCAAGCTTTCCGGAACACCCAGCCTCGCTCTTGGTAGATGACGGCACGTACTGAGCAGGTGCTCTACGCCAATTACTGTAGCTGTAGTTGTCTCGTTATGGTGCCTTGTTACAGTGAGCGAGGCACGAGAATGGACACCCACTGCTACGGTGACGTTCACGCCAGAACTCCGCATTTGAACTAATAGTCACATGATGACTTACATTGTTTGCAAAATTTAAGTGTAACTTGGGTGTGTACTCACCTATTTGTACTCATCTATTTGTGCTTGCGGGGGCTGAGCTTTATCTCTTTGGTCCCGCCTCTCAACTGTCAATCAGCTGGTGTACAGATTCCTGAGCCTACAGGGCTCTTATCATATCTACATTTGAAACTGTGTATGGAGTCAGCCTCCACCACATCACTTCCTAATGCATTCCATTTATTAACTATTTTGACACTGAAAAAGTTCCTTCTAACGTCCCTGTGGCTCATGTGGGTACTCAGTTTCCACCTGTGTCCCCTTGTTCGCGTCCCCCCAGTGTTGAATAGTTTATCCTTGTTTACCCGGTCGATTCCCCTGAGGATTTTGTAGGTTTGTGATCATGTCTCCCCTTACTCTTCTGTTTTCGTGTCGTAAGGTGCATTTCCCGCAGCCTTTCCTTTTAACTCATGCCTCTTAGTTCTGGGACTAGTCTAGTGGCATACCTTTGGACTTTTTCAGCTTCGTCTTGTGCTAGACAAGGTACGGGCTCCATGCTGGGGCCTCATACTCCAGGATTGGTCTTACATATGTGATGTACAAGATTCGGAATGATTCCTTACACAGGTTCCTGAACGCTGTTCTGATGTTAGCCAGCCTCGCATATGCCGCAGACGTTATTCTTTTTATGTGGGTTTCAGGAGACAGGTTTGGTGTGATATCAACTCCTAGATCTTTCTCTCTGTCCGTTTCATTAAGTACTTCATCTCCTATTCTGTATCCTGTGTCTGGCCTCCTGTTTCCACTGCCTAGTTTCATTACTTTGCATTTACTCGGGTTGAACTTCAATAGCCATTTGTTGGACCATTCACTCAGTCTGTCTAGGTCATCTTGTAGCCTCCTACTATCATCCTCTGTTTCAATCCTCCTCATAATTTTTGCATCATCGGCAAACATTGAGAGAAACGATTCTATACCCTCTGGGAGATCATTTACATATATCAGAAACAGTATTGGTCCAAGGACTGACCCCTGCGGGACTCCACTTGTGACGTCACACCAATCTGAGACCTCACCCCTCACACTGACTCGTTGTCTCCTGTTGCTTAGGTACTCGTTTATCCAATGGAGTACCTTCCCTTTCACAGTGTGTGTGTGTGTGTGTGTGTTCTCTTTAAAACCTTTCTTGAGGTTATCTTGAGTTGATTTCGGGGCTTTTTTAGTATCCCCGCGGCCCGGTCCTTGACCAGGCCTCCACCCCCAGGAAGCAGCCCGTGACAGCTGACTAACTCCCAGGTACCTATTTACTGCTAGGTAACAGGGGTGAAAGAAACTCTGCCCATTGTTTCTCGCCGGCGCCTGGGATCGAATCCAGGACCACAGGATCACAAGTCCAGTGTGCTGTCCGCTCGGCCGACCGGCTCCCTTTAATCTAAAGTGTTGACGCTCACTGTTCATATTATAATTAATAGTAGCTGTTCAGCAGATCAGTGTTCAGCGTGTGTTACACCTCCTGTACCAGTTGCGCGGACCCTGCGAAAAATTCTACTAAACTTAGAGTAAAAGAAAAAAATCTGCAGTGGTTCAAGCGAAGCTAACAATTGCGTAGGTGACGGTTTGTTAATACCAGGGCGGAGTGATCGTTCACGCTATACTGCCAACACCGGCGTTTCCTGCGGTCTACTTATAGTCAT